CAGGTTGCTACTGACTACTAGTCTTGCTGTGTTCAACACTGCTTTAGAGCCAGGCAGCTCAAATATAATCAAATTGCTTTGCTATGTCAGGACTCAGGGCTTGTTTTCTGTGTTTTTCTTATACTTTAAATAATAATAAAAAAACTTTAATATTAGAGCAATATAACCCACATGATTTTCATTAATATATAAATAAGCTGATAGTCTTTTTACATGAGCTCTTTGATGTTTGGAAAAAATGTCTTTGTAATATTTTTTGCTGTTGCAAACAGGAAGGCAGTTTTCTTACAAAATAAATTCTCGGGATAAAAAAAAGTAGGTCATTTTGAATAGATGCTGTTTCCATTGATGTGTCAGCCATACATCCATCTATACATTCATCTATCATCCATCCGTCCATCCATCATCCATCTCCATCCATCCATCCATCATCCATCATCCATCCATCCATCCACTATCCATCCTCCTGCCAACCTAACCAACTTTTACTTAGCATCTCAGCTGTCTCAGTATTATTCTTGGTCCTAGAGACACAAACTAAAATAAGCACAAAGCAAGTACTCAAGGAATGTATAGCCTGAAACAGAAAAGAACATTGCAAATCATTTGACACTTAATTGAGATGCAAGAATGTTCTAGGCTCAATATTAGGTTATAATAACACAAAACTAGTTACATTTGATCTCTAGCCCCACACACTCTTTGGAGACAGAACAAGTATGGTAACAGTTGATTAGAAAACAAGTCAAACTGAAAATTCTGTAAGTAGATGAAAAAGCCATGCGAACAGAATATAAGGTGAGTAATTGAGTTTAGGGGGATTTGGGTGCACTTCAGATAGGCATTATTTCCCCGGTGTGAACATTTATAGGCACTGATGCTGGCTGACCTAGGCAAGGTGAACTAGGTGTGGCAGAATCACGATTTTAAACTAGGTAATGCTATTCATGTCATCATTTTCACACAAATCAGTGGGAAAGATGTATTAGTCTGATATTATTCACTATTTCCAATCTCAAACCCTGAATAGAACATGGTAAGTTGTAGCTCCTCTGGAGAGTAAATGTTCCCATTACCTTAAGTGGCTCTTCCAAAACTATTTCAAACACCATTTAATTGAACTGCTTACACTCTCATAAAGTTTCCTTCCTCTTCCTCAATAAAATAGAGGCCATTAGGTGGCTATTTCTCCTATGGCATTTTATTTCCCCCTAATTTTCTTCTTTTAGAGGGTGCTTCTTCTCTTATTCGAGCTAAGTCCCCTCTCATTCTCTCTACTCTTAAGCCTATGTTTGTAGGCATCTGAAATAATGTGTTCCATCAAGAACCTTTCTGTTCCTTTTAGTTTCAGACTTTTAAAGACCCATTTTGCTTACCCTTCAGATAAATAAATTCATGCATCTCTTTATCTAGACATCATCTTAATCCTTTTCTGTCCCTCTAGTCTCCTTCTTCCCCACTCATTTTCACCTATCTTCTTGAGAGTATAATCTAGATCAAAGCTTTTCAAAATACAATGTCACTTGTAAGAGTCACTGTAGGATGTTACAATAAAGAATATGCAAATCACCAACTTTTAGGACATTAAGAATCTAAACTTTAATCCTCTCCTCTCAAATTCTCTATTTTTTATTTACTTATATATTCATAATATAATATTCATAATTATTCATTTATTCATAATCCTCTTGTCACTCCTATGTATTTAATGGTGCCCTTGTAAAAAATCAATTTTTCCTTGAATGCCAAATCCAATGGACACAACAATCATAATGCTCCCTCACTCTATGGCCTGATTCCTACTACAATTTACTCACCTGCTTACATGACTCTATTCCTTCCTGGCTTTCTTGTTTATCTAGTCGTAATTTCTCATCTTCTTTGGAATCCCCTATGTTTCCCTTAAAATTTAATGTTCCATTAGGGTTTCCACTGAGACCTACTTCACTTTATATTCTCTTGAAATTATCTAGTAATTTTAATGTCCACCTATATATTATATAATCTAAAATTTTCCATTTTAGTACAGCTGAGTTTAGACCCACAGAGCCAACTGCCAAACTTGAATCTCTAGCATCTCAAACTTATCATGTAAAACCAAACTGATTAATTGATTCTCCAAACTTATGTTCCTTATTTTGGCCAGGTGAAACACGTAAATAAAGAACCAAGACAAAAATCTGGAGTGGTTTTGCTCTCTTCGCACTTTCCATAATCATTAACTTCTTTGAATTTTTTGTCTTTAGTGTCTCTTAGCAACTTTCCAGTCCACCCCTACTGTCCTTATCATACTGATCTTATATAATAATATCTCACTAACCCAAACTTTGCTGGGTTTAGTCTCTTTCATTACATGCACTAATTGCAGCAAGTATAGTTTTCTAAAGTAAAGTCCTCTACTCTTTCCCTTTGGGAAACAATGCCCAAGCTAAGGAGCATGACTTAAAGTTCTTTACTACCTGGTCCTATCTCCAGTCTCATCTCTTGCTGCCCCTCCCGCCAGTAAAGTTTATAGTCCATTCATACTGAACAATTTAGAGTCCCTATAACTCCAGCTTTCTGACATCTTTATGCCTTTGCAATTCTCCTGCCTTTCTGTAGACTCCCAATAAACTTTAAAAACAGACAGGTTTTATAAAAAGTATGGTGTAAGTTGAGGGAAGTCTACAGGTTTAAATTTTAAAAGCTACTCATTTTTTTTCTTATCATGATGATGTTGAATAAGCATACACAATACAACCTTTAGCTAGCGGAAACATTTGTCTCAGTAATCTTAAGTAGCTTACTTACCTTACATAGTTGGATTAAATCTATTAAGTAAAAAATATATATACTTATTAATGTCTATTTGCATGTCTTTCTAATTGTCAGCTTCTTCTACCTTAATCCTCTGTATCCTAGTATCTTCTTAAATTCACCCTCTGGATGCTTATGGTTGCTTACTATGTTTGTGAAAAATAACTCATACTCCATTATGAAATATTTGCCCAAAGAAAGTATTATAATGATAACCCGGTGTCTCATTAAGAATATTATGATTTCTCATTTCCCCTAAAGGAAATATCAAGTTAATTTAGAGCCATAGGACCTTTTCTCTACCTCTTACATGAAGACATAAAATATTCCCTAACTTTTCCAATTTTCCTTTACATGAATTTTTAACTCTCAGTCTTTAGTATATTTAAATGACCCTGGTTCCTTACAACACATTAGGATTCAGATGCATTTAAGAAAAAAAAAAAAAAACTGAGAAGAACCTAGGTAGTCACAGTAATTTGGTGGCAGAGCTAGTTGCTGGTGGGACTGTTAGCTCCCATGACAGGCACATGGACTTCCCCTGAGGTTCCAGTAGTACAGAACTTTGTCATGCTCCTTAGCTTGGACTTTGTTTCCCAAAGGGAAAGAGTAGAAGACTTTACTTTAGAAAAGCATACTTGAAGCAATTAGTACATGTAATGGAAGAGGGTAAACCCAGCAAAATTTGGATTAGTGAGGTATTATTATATAAAATTAATAGAATGAGGACAGGAGGGGTGGACTGGAGAAGTTGGCTTTTAAGAGACATTAATGACAAAGAATTCAAAGAAGTTAAAGATTACGGAAGGTGGGGATAGAGCAAGACCATGCCAGATTTTTGTCTTGGTTATTTAGTAGGATGAGTAGGAAGACAGGGATCACTTTTGCAAATAATTTTCTATAAAGTCTTCCTCATTTTGATGGGAATATTGAGTAGCGGGAGTGGAGCTGTCTGGCAATGAATACTGGGGTTACTTTGATAGACTGTATGTTACTAAATCATGCAATAGTGAAGAAACATTGAAGGGTTCTGAGCAGAGAAGGACATGGGTGAAAAAGGGGGATGGGATCAGAACTTGGGTAGCAAGAGTGCTTGGACTATGGTGATGGCGCACAGGTAAACTGGTGGTGGGAAGCCCATGGGGATTACAACTGAGATGAAAAAGATGCAAAAATAAAGACTGTTATAAAAGAGAGAAAAAAGAAAATAAATAAATAAAATATACTCATCCAACTTGCACTTCTGTATGAAAATGCAAACAAACAAACAAAAAGAATAAATTGAATAGTTTGGGGTGAATAGGAACAGTGAGTAACTAGAGAAAGTGCTTTTGCAATTCTGTAAGTGGAAGTTAATGCAAGTCTCAACTGATGTGGCAACACTGGGCACAGAGTCAAGGAGTAAAGGGAAAAAATTTCTTATCATTGATAAGATCTCTTTCAGCAAAGAATGAGAACACCATCTCCTCTATGCTGGTTCCCTTTTATACCAAACACAGCTATTCAATACAATCTTACAATTCCATGTTCAGAATTCCCAGAATCAATTGTGATGATAGTGCGGCATTTAATAACTAGCAGGTCATAATACAGTAGAAATGAGGGATACACGCCCAATAGCCCTGATCTGCTATTTCAATAGAGTTCAGATGGATTTTTTCAGACTGGTGCTTTAGTTTTTTCAATGATTCCATACTTCCAAAGACCTCTAATCTCTATTTTTTTTTTTTTTTTGCATTAAAGAACTGAGTGTGAAGGTCAGAGATACGTATGTGGGGGTGGGACAGGAGGCAGAGGGAGGATTCACCAGAGACAGAATGGGGAGCAGAACAGGAAGATTACTGAAATACACACTGCTGAGGGGAGCAGCAGGGGAGAGAAGAGAGGTCTGCTGCACCACATGTATTTTAGTTTTCTGGTGGGGATCGAACTCACACCAGATTGGTGGTGATAGCACTAGGGTTAACCTGTAGCCACCAGGGAGGCCCAAACCACTGATTTCTAAATGTTTGAACAAGCTATTTAAAATGAGAAAGCATCACACAAATAATAATTTTCAATTTTATTTAAATCAAATAAAGCTGGGATTGATGTGAAACACTTTGAAAAGAAACCACATGAGTTTTATTGAAATAAAAATTTAAAGGCAAAATCCTAATACCTAATTATCTTATCCTGAAAAATTAAATGCAAAGGATATACATGTTAAATGGCTATAAATATGTAGGCATTACTCAATGCACATAATGGAGTCATAAAACATCTTATACTGCTTCATTATAAATAACTGGAAATATTTCATTTTCAAGCCCAGATAGTAAAACAGTAAATATCATATTTTCTTGTTTCCTTATTATTTCATTTTCTTTTTGTAGTAAGAGTTTGGAAATAGTATTACTTATCAAAATACTGATTTTAAAAATCTGTAAGAACACACACACACAAAAGCACTCACTTTCATTTACTGGAACGAAACAATCAAGGAAGTTTTAAGAGGGAGAGACTAAATAGTGCTAGGAAGGGGTGATCAAGAATAGAAAAATGTGGAATACCTGCAAAATCACATGTAAGGTAAAATAGAGGTGTATACAGATTATAAATATAAAGAATTGAAGGTAAACCTTAATCATTTTCTTCAAAATGTGTAGCTTTGTTGTTTAAATTGGAGGCAAGTCACAAAGACACAATAGATCAAGTTATCAGGTCTGAAACTGGTATTACTGACTTGAGGAAAACTTTCATTTTTCTAAGGAGACCCAATGTATACTTAAATACTTCTACTAACTTCTGATTTGGTTAAAAACAAACAAAACTCTTCACAACCATAATCTTGAACACTAACAGGCAGAGATTTTGACAACTGAAAATAAAATTGTAGAAATTTCAAATTGCCACAAAAGTCTGTGTCCAAAAGTTGGACTAAAATAGATTATCCCATAGGAGTATTTCCACGAAGTGCTTAATAGCAGCTCTCTGTCAGATATGTTTTAGTCAGGTGACTGTGAGGAAATTTTTTGTGTGTGTTTCCCTTATGCTAATTTTCTTCAGTAACAATAATTTCTAAGACTCATGAATTGTTTTTGAAAACAGAGCCTGAGGAAAAAAATACAAAGAAGTGATGTATTTCATAAAGTAGATTTCTCTGAAAACTTGTGCCTAATTGCATCAATTAAGAACAATGTTGTATATTGAAGATGAAACAGCTACTAGGTGCATGGTAGATAAGAACATGCTATGTACAAAGACACTTATAATTCTTCTGTTATTTGCCATAGATTTCAAAATATATTTGTTATAGAAACTGGAACAGGGTGACTCTGAAAAGCATGTTTTAGTTAATTATCAAAAATTAAATTTAGTATGAAGTAATAGGGTGAAGAATGGGAGATATAAAAACATTTAAAAAATAAGGAAGTTATATTTAAATGCACACATGCAAGACAATATTGTAAGTTAAACTGCTCCAGTTTAGTTGGTTTTACTTCCATCTAATACATTCTAAAATACTGCTTTCATGTAAAATAGTAAAGGAAATATTAAATGAATGTGTGTTACTTTAAGAAACTGATGATGTATTTCACATTCTTTAAACTTTACCCAGGCTATAAATATATTTATATATCAGTCGATTTTTAAAGTAAGTGAAAACTATCATAAGGGTGAAGGGTAATTTTTCACCTCATATTTCCTTACTTGATTATGTCCTTACTTAATTGGAACAATGGAGCATGTTTCTACCTAACACCATTATTCTTCATACACTGTAACAATGACTTAACAAAAATTTAAAGTTGAAGATGGGTTAACTGAACTCAACTTGTAAGTAATGATTTAAAAATTGGGCTTCTAAAATCCATTAACATTTGACCAACTCAGAGGGCAATGCTGTTCTTCCTCAACTTTCGTTAAAATTGTGCAATAGGAAAGAGTTATTGATAGTAGGTTTGCATAAAAGACACCATTTCATGGGTGTAATGCACCTTTTTCAAAGGATTATGGTAGGTTGGCTTCTATTACTCAAGTTGTTTTTTTTCTCTTCATTTTCTTCTTCATTTTCAGTTTTACATGAAATAACCATATCATCTCACTACACAGCTCCAAAACAAGATCCAGTAGTTTGAAACCCAGTGAGCAAGCAGTTTCTTCCCTTTTTAAAGCATGGCAGTGAGTGACATTTTCTCTAGTTACGCTGTATGAACACGGCAACCCCAAGTAGAGACTTTAGTAAACCCAAAAGGCTACAAATCAAGTCAAGAACATTGGTGACTTCACATAACTGCCTCTTCTTTCTGGAAGGGAGATGACATTTTTGCTTCAAAAGTTTCCAAAGAGTTTCTTATATGGTAGTTTCTCGAGATTTCCTGTTACTTTTCTAATTCCTTCTGATATTACTCCTTCAAAAGTCTAAAGGTCGGATCATCATGGTTGTGGAACGTAAGGAGTAACTGGGTCCTTTGAAGTAATGCCACTTTATCCCATTCAGTTTTCCATGGTTTTGTCCCGCTGTATAGAACATTCCATTCAGATTGGATGGGCCACAAGCATCAAACCACCAACCTGAAAAATTAGTTGACAATGAAAGCAAGAAGTAGGAGAAATACTGCACAACTGAATATCTGGAAATGGCCTTAAGTAACAGGGCATTTATTCATATTGTTATGATCATTTGCAAATCGGAGGCATTCAATACATATCTTCTCAGCAGTAAATTATTTTAAGTGACATCCAGCTTCAGCAGTGTATGAACAACCAGAGAGAAGAATGGTCTCATGAAAATCAGCTTTCAGTATGGCTCCACTGGGACTCATTTCCCAAGTTTCTGGCTTCAAGATACAATCTAAGTCAGGCCTAGATTTATATGTAGAAACCCTTCAAAGGCATTCCACCTTAAGCCCATCACTGAGAGAACAATTAATTCTTAGTGAAGAAGCATGGAAATGCAGACAGCTGACATTTAAATAGAAAGTGACGCTCTCCATCTACTCCATAATTTGGTAATTCAGCTGCTTCTGAATTTGCTTGGATACGGGGTTGTAACTATGTATTTGAATTACTATGCCTGCTCTGTAGTTTATGGCAACATGGGGAAGTGTTCATCAAAGCAGTCACTTCAGTTCCTAAAGAGCCTGATTCTTTTGGTGACTCTTCATGTTCTTTCTAAACACTGAAAGAAAAACAAAAGAAAAGAAAAGAAAAGAAAACAAAACTTGTCGAGTTGTGGGGGAGCCTGTGCTTGCACAGCTCTCTGTAGGACAACTCAGTACTTTTAAAAAATGAACTAAGTGCTAGGATTTTAGATAAAGCATAGTACTTTCTTCCTTTCTCCTGAAGTAAAGCTACTGAAATCTTTAGGGAGAGATTTATGCCAGAGACATTCTGGCATATTTTTATTTGGATGCAACTGACCTCCCTTTGATTGCAATTATACTTAGGGGACTAATAGCTACAGAAAGAGAAAACTGTACAGCTGATGTTTAACTGTAACATGAGCATCATCTTGCAGAAACTTCAGGAAAAATTAAATGGAGGAGAGCTAGCTTGCCTTTTTCCATTTGGAATACAGCTGAGCTGAGTTGTATTTATAAAGTCATCCTAGAGGCAAGGCAAGCTGTATTTTCAATCACCAACTCATAAGGTATTGTGGGTGAATTTGCAAAGACACTATATTCAACACTGTTTTACCAACTACACACAAGCAACAGGATGTCCATGCAGTCAAAACATGGGAACAAGGAGGTTCTTGCTTGACAGGGAAGGGAACACTAAAATTCCAATGTTTTTCCTAAGATTAATTCCTTAAAATTTTAATAATCATGACTGGTTAAAATTTATTATTAATATTACATATGGCATTCTGTTGTGACTCACTTAGGTAGAAGACCCTCTAGAGGACAAAGTGAAAACGTGATGGCTTCAGCATTATACCTTTCTGCCCTTTTCTATGATATACTGAGGCACCAGCTTCATGTTACTGAGCCTCTTGAGTTCTTTTAAATATCTGCCATGGCCTCTGAAGGAAATGTAGTTACTTCACAATTGAGAATTACTACTACGTGTCATAGAATAATCCTCAGGCTACCTCGGGATATTCAGAGCAAAAGTGTGTGTTTTTGTTTAATTTATAAAGTCACAAGCATTCTGGAACTGCGGAGAGGCAGAGGTCTGTTGCAACAGCAGCCTGGCAATAACCACACAGGCTAAAAAATACATTCACTGGGAAATTTTGGATGAGCTTGGGAAAGAGACAAGAAATAGTAGGGGCCAGAATGATCTGGCTAAATTGACTCTGTGTATCTTTTCTAATGAGTAAAGTGTGGTAATGTTCATGGTAAGGAACATACATTTTGGAGACATTAAAAAAAGACCCGGATGACTTGGCAGAGTAAATAGTTCTCTGGTGCTGAAAGGTTTAAAGATCAAATCACAAAGAGCATGGAGATATATGTTCCATATACAGACTCATCTAGAGTACTTCCCTGTATCTACAAGAAACTACAGAATAAAAGACTGGCAAGTGACTTTGGATTTATTGACAGATTATCTGACTTTAACTGTCTATTTCTCCTTGTAAGGTCTCTATGTTCAGAGGATGTTTACTAAAAAGCCTTATTTGATAGGCACCCTACTATTATGAACAGCTATACTTATTATTTCTCCTTTTCCTTTATGCAATTATTATGATGTGATGTGTTGTTATATAAGATAGATGTGATTCCTACCCTCAAGAAATTTAGTTCTAACGTGAGAAACAAATTTTTAAAAAGCAAATAAATAAAATGGTTACAAATAACGACAAGAAGAAAGAAGGGAAAAAGAAAAAGATTGAATTGAATCAGAGAGCTCTGAAGAAGACTAACAGACCTACTAGGCTTTTCACATTCATAGAAGTGGCTGGTATTTAATGAGATAGGGACCATAAGAGAAGGTAACCAGGTCAAGCGGGGTCTGACTCTACTAAACAGAGTAGGACCATGCTGATGCCATGAGGAAGCAAGTGTGGCGTGTTCGGAAGTAAAAGTGCATCAGTACTGCTGGTACAGTCAATAGTGGGAATACTCATCGGAAACAGAGATGGAGGAGCCAGCAATGTTGGTGGGAAATTGAACAATGTCTGTGGAAAAATTTATAACTAGTTAAGTAGTCCATCATGAGGGAAAAGAGTGAAACATTCTCTAGGGAAACCAGATCTACCAGGTTGGATGTTTAATTGAGCATGATTTAGTGCCCTCATTCTATAAGTAGGATCTTTCTAAGTCTCCCTGAATACGTTTGGCCACAAGAGGAGGGGAAAGGAATCTAAAATCATTTCAACAGATACTAATGACTAGACAGACACAGTAAAAATGCCTACTGGACAGATTCAGGAAAATCCCTGATTCAGGAAGTACCCAGTTCCGTTGAGAAGAGAGACAATGAACTAAAAAAGAATGAGATCACAGTCATTAAATACAGATGGAGAAAATTTTATAGAAACAGAGGCAGAAGATCTGTATGTGGGGCCATAAGGTTTACTCATTTCCCAGCTGAGCTGAGTCCTGAGGGGGTTGGTGGCAAATTCATTGGACAGAATGAAACCATGAACCGTATGCGCTCTGCAAAAGTAGGAGAGTGCCTGCCAGCAGCGTGGCTTGGCTAGAAGGTCAGCGGGTAAAGGGTTGGAATATAGGACTAGCAAATAAACAGGAAGGAGAACAGCGACTTTTTAAAAATTTTATTTTTAGAATGCTCTTGTGGGCAACGAGGAGTCTGGAGAACACCAGAACAAAAATGAGAACTCAGACTTTGATGCTGATTTCACCATGAATTAATGACCATGAGATCTTAGGCAATTTTTTTTTTTGAAGAGTTGTTAAGTATAAGAGAATCTGCTAAAATATTTACGTGGATTTTCATATTTTTTTCCCAAATAGTTAACATGTGATGCAACAAATAACCTCATAAAGACACTAGTGATCAGAGAATTTAAGGAACTTTCTCAAGGTCACTTAACTCCTCATTCATTAAGATGTGGACTGCAATGCCTGAACACCACAGAGATCAAGTAACATGGCCTGGAAAATCCCAGCTCAGTGTTTCATGTAAGTTATCTAGGAAATGGGGCAAAGTATTTAGAATAGGAACAAAGGGACTTGATCTTCTGTGGGCATCATGATACATAAAGAAGAACAGGTCATCAGGACCAACTTACTACCTTACATGTTTGACCAATTTTATTAGAGAATCATAGAAATAATTTAGAACCAAATGAGTTGTACAATGCTGACAGTGAACTTAAGTAGCATTGAAGCACCTAATTGTTCTTCTTTTAATGATTTGCTTTCACTTCATGTGAAAATCAAGAGGTTTACGGTGTTCAGTTACCTATTTTAAGATCAGTGGGTCATACATACTGTGGACTATTAAAGAGCAATTGATAACAAAGATTGTGAGTAATGGTGCAATAATGTCCTTTCTAAAACACTCTGAACTTCAAAGTAGCAAAACTAGGTATTTCTGTGCAAGAAAGTACACTCTGTTTTCTTTGACACAAATTTTTTGGTATCAAATTATTCAATTTGTCCATTTTTTAAAAAATAAATATGCATCTTTAAAACATGAAAAGAAATGGCTTTAGTCAAATATATTTTTTTAAAATTTTTTTTTAAAGATTTATTTATTTATTCATATAGAACTGGGGTACAGGCCAGAGATGCAGAGGGTGAGAGGATTCACCAGAGACAGAGTGGGGAGCAGAACAGGCAGATCAACGAAGTACACTGCTGAGGGGAGCAGCGGGCGGGTCAGGAGAGGTCTGCCTCGCCATGTGGTCACCTCCGGGGCAGGCGGGGATCGAACTCATGCGGAAGTGGCTTTAGTTTCTCAGTGCAGTGCTTTAACCCGCTGCGCCACCAGGAAGGGCCATAGTCAAACATATTTTTTAAGTGAGCAGGCTGAGGTATAGCAGGTGCCTAACTATTCCTGGGTGTTTACTGGTATTCACAGATAGTCACACGTACACATCAATATGTACATAAAGTTGCCTGGAACAAGGAGTTTCTGTGCGAACATACAGAGGAGTATGTCTGGGTTTGAGGTTCTTTGCTAAGGAGCTACATAGCTGAATTACATATATATACATCCTCTAAAATCCCAGAGAAAAAATTACCTTTGTCCTTTGTTCTGTACTTTCCTGGGAATAACAAATTAGCAGTATACTAAGGAAATGAATCTAGGAAAGGCACTTTAAGCTTAAATAAACGCAGTGATGCAAAGGATGAAGAAAGCAACTTTCATCCGCTGCTGGGATGACTGATAAAATGTCTGAAATGTTTTAAGATTGGCAACTTCTGATATGTACTTTGCCAAGCATTTTTCTTCATAACCTATAACCTCATGTATATTTTAATAAGAAATCTGAGATGCATGTTTCTAATTCATTTACACTTAACTCATTAAAACTGTTTTGTAATAACGATCTCAGGCTTCCCAGGCTTTAAAAAAATCATTCACGTCTTTTATCTTTGAAGCAGAAAATTCACATTTTATCACCAATAAATGAAAGTTTGCCCAGAAAATAT